CAAATTAAAAAAACAAAATTGTTAATTAAAATAATTTTATTTAATTATAATAATATAATGAATAAATATTCACTAGAATAAATAAAATAAATGAAAAAAAGTAATAATAGGCAGGGATCGAACCCAGGTCGACAGCGTGATAGCCTAGAGCTTAAGTGCCCGAGCTACGCCGCCATCTCGACAACCGATCCACAGGACCAGAATATAAAGGACGCCATAAACTTCAAATCGATTTTTCTCGAAAACGGCTAAGCGTTGCGCCCTATCCTTTTACTCAAGTACTCTTCTGATAAAGTACTATACCATATAAAAATTTCTTTGAAATCGGTGACCCGAAGTCCGCGTCCTCCCCTTGTAAGACTATTTCTGAAAAGTCGATTTTTTGGATCCTCTAAACGAGGTTTCCCCTCTTAAAAACGACGTGTTTTTAGAACGTCTTAAAAATGTCTTTTTTACATCTCATGCTGCTTGTTGCTCTATTTTTAGCAACCAGAATTTTATATTTTGTGATTCTTGTATAGACCAACGGTCAGTTCGTATTTCGGGCTATCCTGTATAATACGAGTCGACGATCAAATAGCGTTTTCGATTATACAGGATTTGAACGACCCAGGGTTGATCAATCACTATTTTACTATAAATGCAAGTCTTTCATTGGTGGAGAGGTTGCAATGACGTCATTAACCAACCCTGGGTCGTTCAAATCCTGTATAATCGAAAACGCTAAAACAAACGAATACATTTTAGTGTATGGCAGTGATGTAAACTCGAGCCGGCCAGCCCAGGGCTCCGTGGTAGGGGAAGCATGCACACAAGCGAGAATCGTACGTCACACGTACGTGTGCGTCACGTGTACCGCGTACGTGTGATGTAAGCGGTTCTCGCTTGTGTGCATGCTTCCCCTACCACGGAGCCCTGATGCTGGCTGGCTTAAGTTTTCATCACTGGTGTATGGTGTATCTTAGCAATGGAAGCTGAAATAAATAATGTCAGAAGAAAAAGTGAAAGGTAATGATTATACGAGTTTTATATTAAGTACTCGTTTCACATGTACCCTGATTTTGTACAAATTATACTTTTGTTTATATCTAATGTATTAAGAAGTTGAGGTTACATTTTTTATTGTCTGGTTTATTATTAATAAACAACTCAAGTACAGATAATTTAACAATTTTATTCTAAAAGATTTGACAGTAGAGGATTAATGTAAAAATTATATAATTTATGAAGTTTGATCATTAGTGATTTGAGAAAAAAAAGAATGTAAATTAAAACTATAAAGAATGAAAAGCTAAATGATGTAAGAATTTATAGATTTAACGGTATACAAGATATCAAATAATTTTATAAATAATAATCATAGAATTTAAAAATGTAGACAAATTAGTTTGTAAAATTCAAAAGATTTAAGTAGTCAATATAATTATGTAAAATATATAAGTTATACTATAGAATTAAGATTATTAATTAATTATAATAAAACAATAATTAAAAATATAAAAATATAAAAACAGTTTGAGCGTGAAACCAAAACAAATTGAAGAAAAGATGAATAATATTCTGCAATATTATGATACTAATACAGATCACATTACAGTGGCAAGAAGAGAAATCTAAATATCTTGGAGTTACTTTGTGCCAGTTGTTCATAATGATTTTACAAGCATCAAACATCCTGCATCAAATATCAATTGGACAAACTTGTACCTTTCATGATGAACTATGTGTTCATGTGCGAAAATTGTTTATTAACTGGTTTGGAGAGCTTTAAGAAGAATCAGACACGTAAGTACGCTAAAAAAATCAACAAAACTGTTAGTTTATATATTATAAAATACATTATTCAGTTACTTACTAACTGTAATGTTTCTGTCCACCATTTCCAGCATGTCTATAAATGTGTGTGACAGCAATCGTAAACTTGTTGCAGATATGTCAGCAAGAATGTGACCAAAAAATTCTATTTCACGAAGACAAGGATATCATATCTCTCATTGAGTACCACTGGGAGAGTATCACCACAATGTCTCGTAGAGTCATTTAATCCATGTTATGGTATCTAATAAAATTCTTTTGTTGCGGTAGTTATATTAGGTTATAACAGTTTTAAACAGTCGTTTTCCTATATTATATAAGACATAGAATTATAACAAGAATTTTGTCATGAATTTAAGATGTTTAAGATGGGTTTAATAAATGATTCATCTTTTCTAGATCCGGAAAGCGTTGCTTAAAAATGTCGGGACTCTATTTACGATGGATAATACTTTCGAAGGTCAACTCTTCAGCCTGGTGAATTCTTATCTTACATTAATTAAACCGAATTATGAGATGATGATTAGGAATGGTCACCTTCGAGCGACAGAAATGGGTGTACAACACATCGGTATGTATTGACTATTTTATTTTTATTATTATCAATTTTACAACAAACTTCAATTTCAAACTAAATTGACAAGAAAGAACTGATCAAAGAATATACATGCAATATTTCAAAATTGCTCTGTTTCTGTTTCAATTTCTGTGTGTTCTGATCTTATTCTTTTTTTATATTAATTATATATTATTTTTGGATGTTGTTCCATTATTTATGTACAACATTTCAAGCTGTTACTTTAAGTTTGCTTAAATTAGAGAATAATCAATGATATAAACTTCTTAAAACTTCCAATTGAATTTCCATTTTTTACGCATCTTTCAAACAAATGATATTTTTCAACAAGCAAGTTTTGTCGCACATGTATGTAGATTTGTTATTAGAGAGCAAAAATAGTAGTGTATTTTTAGATAATTTAGAACACTTTTTCTGAATATATCTTGAATGTGATTCCAGATTTAAAAGCACCATTACAAAGTATATCATGCAGCGTCTGATTATTGTACGAAAGGGCCGGTCGATGACACTTAATAGTGTCCGAAGACTGTAGACTTTTGATTGTTATAAATGCGAAAATCGTCGCGGAATATGAAGCGTAGTTTTCCATTAAAAATTCTGTTTCATGCATTTGCTGTGAGTGTACATCAATGTGATACGCACGAACTGCACGAAGACGCTTGCGCTGCAAAAGCGATATCGTTTCTAGGAACTATATACGATCGATTGCAAGATAAAAAGAATGTCTTCTACAATTTGTAAGGGTTGTAGGATTAAAAGTAATATTTTTTTGCATGTGTGTCAGAGCAACATAAATAAAACTAGGCTCTTTGAGGATTCGATTGTTTGTACATAAGTATTTTTAAAGAAATTTTGTGATGACAGTAACAGCAATTCTCACGAATTTGCTCTAAATATTGATATGGATTTTGGATATTATTTGGATATTATTATTGTCAATATTGAGAAAATTAAATTTTTTTCCAACAATGATAAAAGTAGATTTGTATATAAATATTAAAATGCTATACAAATGGTTATTCTATGAACGTGCGATTGTATGAAATTTTTTCTTTGCACATATCAGTTGTATTGGAAAACGGAATTTTTTTCTGATGATGAAAATGGAAAATGCTACAAACAGCTTGTTCTATTATTATTAATAATAACTCAGATATTTGGTTTTAGTATATTATTTGTCAAAAACTTATATTTTTTTATATACTAGTTATATATAATTGTCCATTCTACAATGCTGTTAAATATTTGCTTTGTTTTGAATATTTTTTTACTTGCGTAATTATAAAGCATAGAAAACAAGATTAACTATAATAATAATTATTTAAATAATCAAGAAACAAATTTTTTATACTTCCCAGTAAACACTAACTAGCAGTAACAAAACATCAATGTTATAATTTCCTACTCAACAATATAATTGTCACAAAATATTGCAGTAACGTTGTTGAGTGGGAAATTATAACATTGACATTATGTTGGTGTTTTCTGGATTACAGGCTGCAAATTTCTTCCTTTAGAATTTTTTTTTCAACTTTAAATATAATATTTTTACAGTGGTAGTAATATAAATACTTGCGTAAAAATGTGGTTGTCAATTAATAAAATGCAATGGATAATATAAATCTAGAAGTGTCGTCTGTTACTTATTTCACTGCACAGATCGTAACAGCATAAAGTATGAACTTGACATCCGCAACATCTTAAACAAAGTTTTCTCATTTTTATAAGAAGATGGCATGTGACAGTTGAAAAATAATTATGCTTACCGCATTAAAAGTCACGTATGACATTATGATAAGTTTATTAGCGGCACTTACTGTCAATGGCTCTTTACCTTTCATCATAATCATAATAAGAAGCTTTCTTGCCGCTATCGGCATATTGTACCACTCCGTATTATATCTGCAAATTGCGTAAAAGTTTGGTTTTATTTCATTACTTGTTTGTCGCGATTATTTTCAGGAAGTATTTTTTTACACACACACACACACTACGCTCTCTAATTTGTATTTCTGACATTTTAGAGTACGTACGCGGATTCAAAGATTGTTTCGCTGTAATCTATAATTTTCTGACCTTGCCAATTAAAAAAGAATACATAAAGTAAAGTTGTGATCAATTGGATAACGTGAGCCATAAGGTGGTCAAGGTGTTCCATGTTTGTTATTATCTGTCGAACATCATTTTTATATGAGAATTGTTACGGTCGAGCTTCAAATTACGGAAATAGGTACCCAGCAAACACCAAGTTAC